ACACATCCCCACAGACAAACAGGCAAATAGAATAGTCTATATACACGGATATAATAAGCTATATCACACACAAATATTTAATTGCCAGATATATCCTAAACACATCCCCACAAGACAGGCAGACAAATATGATAGTCTATATATACGGATATAACAAGCTAAATCACACACGAGTACTTCGATTTAAAGATATATCCTATACATATCCTCAATAAAAGCTTATATATACGGATGTAACAAGCTAAATCACACACAAATACTTCGATTTAAAGATATATCCTATACATATCCTCAATGAAAGTTTATATATACGGATGTAATAAGCTAAATCACACACAAATGCTTTGATTTCCAGATGTATCCTATACACATCCCCACAGACAAACAGAGCGATAGTCTATATATACGAATATATGAAGCTAGACTACACACACAGACTTAGTCATATCCAGACAAAACAAATCAAGCACTCACCCAATCGGCACAGTGCAATAGCACATCTGTGTACAAATGGGTCTAGCTCTGCGACACATACAAGCGAGCGCATTAGCAAATAGGTGATAGTACATATAGCGCCAACCCACCCAACCCACCACCTCCATCCCCTCCCCATACTCCTACAGATGTAGTGCAACACCCAGTCTCGGCAAACCTTCCAATTCCAGCTATATTTAAACACAAGCGCGAACAAACACACGCGTGAACATTCAAGGTGCCAATCAGATCACAAACACAGCCGCATATAGCTAGCTGACGCAGACCCAGACCACGTACACACATACACCTACTTTACAGATCCGGTGCCAAATCCACCTATACTCCCGCCCGAACTCCCTCCGGCAGCGCCAACGGGGGGAGTGTATTCCACACTCACTTCCAAAACCTCGGACACTTCCTCTTTCTCGGACCGTCTGTGTCTGTGTTGGGGTGCTACGGGTATCGGTTGCGTGAACGTGCCGCGACGGCGCCGCGCGAGGCCTGTGCTCTTTAAGATGACTGTACACGTGTGCAGGCACAGGAATAGGGGGTCAAATCAAATCAATTTATATACTCAATAAACAATTGATACCGATGTCAATATATAT